TATGTAGCTAAGGCTAGCCTCTAACTCACAATGATGCTCTTGCTTCAGCCTCAGGTGCACCAGGATAACTGGCACACACCATCGTACTTTGATACATTTTTATTTGTTTGAGGAGGATTCTGGACTGGGATGTAGCTCAGTGATAGAGGACTTGTCTAGCATGTGCAAGGCCCTGGGTTCAATATCCAACACACACACACACACATGCATGTGCATACACACACACACACACACACACACACACACACACATACACACACTAGTGCTGTCCTTTAGATTTTTGCATGTTTTTATTTAACTTGATTTTTAAAATATTACTTGTTTCTATTTAAATACATCTTTCCTATCGTATCCTGTAACCAGTTGTTATTTTTGTATATTAGAATGACTGATTATAAAATGCTATTTTTAAAATTCTGCTACATTTTCCATAATCTTTATTGTTTATCTTATCATGGAGTGTTCCATGTGTACTGTCATTTCTGAAAACTGATTGTTTTACTTGTTAGCTTCCAATTCTTTTTGTTGTTGTTGTTTTGTGGGAGTTTTTTGTTTTTGTTTTTATGACAGGGTTGCTCTGTAACCTCAGCTGGCCAGGAACTCATGTGAACCAAGCTGGCCTCTATCTCACAGAGATCTGCCTGCCTCTGCCTCTCCAGTGCTGGAATTAAAGGTGTGTACCCAGGTAGTTCTCAGTTCTAAATGTAGCTAAGGCTAGCCTCTAACTCACAATGATGCTCTTGACCTAACTTATTGATCTTATCCAACCACATTGTATAGTATCTCCAGCACAATAATAAATAAAAGAGCATTCTTTTGTTTTGTTCTTGCTCCTAATATATCCCCTCTTAATGTTTTCTCCTTAAGATGCTGGCTTTAAAACTAAACTATATATTTTTGTCTTAAGAACGTGATCATTGATTACTATATTCTTGAGTATTTTGTCAGGAATAAATGTTGAATTATAGAATTTAACATTATTTCATTATACATGTAGCTGATCATCGATTTTCCTCCTTTGATACATTAATGCAGTATCTGAACAAATTTATAAACTGGCAATAAATCCAACCTGACCATAAAGTTTGCTTTTCTTCATGTGGTACTGTATTTTATTTGCTACATCTTATGAAAAGTCATCGTTCCTCTCCTCTCGTCTTCATCTGAATCCACTCTCGGTTACTTCAGTCAGACTCACTTCCATCCCATGAAGACACAGAGCCCATGGCAGGCATGGCACAAAGGTTCTTTCATTGTGAAGCTTTTCCACTTCTCCATGTTGATTCAAAGCCAGTTGCATTTTCAATGAGGAAGATAGCAAGCAATTGTGCTCACAAGTCCAGGTTCATTCAGATGATCCTGCCACCAGAGCCGAAAGTAGTCATGGGTGTATTCTCGAGTGTGGGTATTTGAGCATGTTACATCCCCATGCCCACTTCTGGCATAGCTAAGAGGGCTCATCAAAATGCTTATAGATTTTCATTAAATCATTCCTTCAAAAGTCCCAAGTTTCAGAGAGAACATCTCTGAATATATAGCTTAAATGCCACCTTAGAGAAACATTCTCTGACTTCCGACCTATAGTCCCTGCACTCTCCTGAATCCTATTCCTTTCTTTATGGCATTTAGGTCAAGTTGATTTTAACTGATTGTGCTCCTTCACTGAACTATAAGTTCCAATAAGACAAAGTCCATGTCTGTTCTGTTTGCCTCTGACCACCATATCCCAGCACCTAGCACAGTGCCCGGGGGGTGGTATTCACCCTTCAATACTTACTGAATGAATGAAGGATGCTGGGGGATACTGACAAGTACTGAAGGACCTGACTACTATAGAGGTAGAATGCTTTGTCCGAGAGAAGGTGGAGTTAGCAAAGTTGCTTCTGCAATCCTGAAACTCTCAGGAAAACTAAGATTTGGTTACGATTTAAGCCTTTCATATACTTAGCTATATTCCTAACAGCTCATTTTCTCTCATTGAATGAGCCTGTAATAAGTGTCTGAACTCCCATACAGCAGCTATGAACAGATTTGGGGGGGGGGGATCTTAATTCTAGAACAAGTTGGTGCTCTGCGGTATTTTCTTCTCACTCTCTTTAGAAAAGCCAGTGTATGAATTTAAAAACCAAACAAGAGCTCTGAGGGCATTCCTCCATGGATAAACTGCTTGCTATGTAAGCCTGAGGAACTAAGTTCAGGTCCACAGAACCCATGTAAAATCTGGTTTGGTGACTTGTACCTGTGACTTTGGTGCTGAGAAGAGGAAACAGCCAACTCCAGGGACCCACTGCCCAACCATTTTAGTCAAAATGATGAGCTCCAGGTTCAGTGAGAGACCCTGTCTCAAAAAATAAGGTGGAGCACAGTAGAGGAAGACCCCAATATCAGCCTCTGTTCTACACACACACACACACACACACACACACACACCATACACACACACCATACACACACATGCACCATACACACACACATACCATACACACACATACCACACACACACACACCACACACACACTCCCCCCATACACACACACCCCATACACACACACATACCATACACACACACACACACACACCATACACACACACCATACACACACACGCACCATACACACACATACCATACACACACACACCATACACACACACATACCATACACACACCATACACACATACACACACATACCATCACATACCATACACACACACACCATACACACACACATACCATACACACACACCATACACACACACATACCACACACACACACCATACACACACACATACCATACACACACATACCACACACACACACACACACACACACACACACCATACACACACACCATACACACACACGCACCATACACACACATACCATACACACACACACCATACACACACACATACCATACACACACACATACCACACACACACACACCACACACACACATGCTCCCCCCATACACACACACCCCATACACACACACATACCATACACACACCATACACACATACACACACATACCATACACACACACACACACACACAGAGGCAAGTACACATATACATACATATGCACACACATGCACATGTTCCCAACCCCACACGCATACAAATAAAACCAGAAAATCAACTAAATGGCAGGACTCCAGACCTTAGATTTAATTTCTGGAGTCATAGAGAAAAGCATTAGGTAAAATCAACATTATCTCTCAAATCTCCTTAATCGCTTTTAATAAATGCAGGTGGCCCCAATCAAATGGCACATACCTTTTTCTTTCTCAATTACTGTGTGACTTGGACTCAGATACTTTGGGAGATTCCTTCTGGAGGAACATCAGTGTCTTCCTCTCCCCTCCCTCTCCCTTCCCCTCCCCCTTTCCCTCCCTTCTCCATCCCTCCTCTTCTCTTCCCTCCTCTCCCTTGTTACCTGCATTCCACTCCTCTCCTCTCTCCCCGCTCCCCCTTCTCCCATCCCCTCTCTCTCCTCCCCTTTCTTACTCTCTACTTCTCTCTTTTTCTCTCTTCTCTTCATCTTCCTTTGAAGAGGCTGGTCTTGTTTGAAAATTTCTAACCCTGAATTTCTGGCCTTGAGATATTTTACTCAGTTCTTTGAGGTCATTTACAAATAAACTCGCCAGGTAAAATCTCATTGCTGGAAACCCACAGTGGCTGGAGCCATGTTTATGGGGACCTGGTATCCAACAGAACATAATTGGACCTGAAGAACACTCCTGTTGGGGGTAAATGTGACTTGGCGGGGGGTGGCGGGGAGCAGTCTGAGACAAGAATCCTACAGTCCTATGGTGCAAGTGTTTCTCTTCCAGCTCCTCAGTAACTCACAAGCGTATACAGGAGTCCTGCAGAGGAAGGGGAAGAAAATGCCCATATTTTTCCATTACTGTAAAAGTAATAACCTTGGGTTTAAAATAAGAGTGAAAGAATGAATGTATCTATGCTTGGGCAAGAAAAACAAGAAGGGGCATTGAAGAGACAGACTAAAGGCGATATTGCTTACTTCGTCTCCTTCACCCTGAAATCTTTACGGGAGTGTTGTCCTTAGGTCCCAGGACCAATAGGCATGTTTCTCCCTATAGGTGTCTAGAATCCTTTCCAAAGACTCAGAGCCTCTGCCAGATCTCCAGAGAATCCTATCCTTGCAGCAGGCAAGAAACACAGTGTCAAACTGTACTAATGTCCTCAATGGCTGTGCTACTCTGAATCTACATCCTGATGAAAAATCTACCACCACAGACAATACTTACTTCTTACCAGTGACTTTACGCACTTTGCTTCTCTGATGGAAAGAGAGTTTGCCAAGTCCAGGCTGAGGATCTGAGAGCCATATGCACTACACTTGACTTTCTTATGCTTCTACCATCATTCTGAAAAGAACTTGCTTAGTCTGGTCCTGACTAAGAAACAGGTGAAGTCACAGTGGCCCAGCCAAGCTCAGCATGCTCAGTCAAACTCCAGAACCCCTCGGATGTGGAAGCAAGGCCAGCCTGGATCAGCTCAGCCCTGCAGATGTGTGAGAAATAAATGTTTATTGTTGTATGCCACTGAGCATGTGTGGTTGCTTGTTCCACATCAAAAGTTAAATGATCACAGAGCTAAAAATTGAAGCTCTTAAGGAGCCCCTAAGAATAACAATGCCTTATATTCATATAGCACTCTGAGATTTTCTAAATACTTAACAGAGTGTGTCTTGTTAAGCTTTCATGATATCCCTATGAAGTGGGTGAAAAAATATTATTTCTTTTTTATAACTGAGGGTAGTAAGGTAAAAAACAGTGAACTAGATTTTCCCATAGCCACGAAGCTAAAGGGAAATAGGAGTGGCATCTTCCTCATTCCTGGCTCAGACCCTTCCTTGCACTAGACGTGGTAGGTACGGAGAAAGATGAACATAAACGTAGCTAGCATCATACAATCATGAGAATGCTGAAACGAAATTTGGGTGATGAAAAAACATTGGATGTTTGTTTAATGGACTTTATTTCTCTGGAAAAGCATTTTGGGGGAAGAAAAATATGAACCATAAATAACATTTCAAAAAGAAGAGACCTGCAGGACAAAAGCCTCCGGGTTGTGTAAGGTCACATGGACAGTATATGTAATGTATTGGTGTTTGCAATATGCTGGGAAATCTGTTAGTAATCTGACAGGCATTGGCTTATCAACTTTCATAATAATACCACAATCATACCATAACACAATATAATGTAACATACCATAACAATGTCCATATTCCATGACATAATACAATCCCCAGATATTAAGCAATAGAATAACTTGCCAGAGTTCACATAGCAAGGAAGTGGCATTGAACTGAAGCCTAAACCAGTTTGATTCTTGCATTGGCTCCTCTGTCTTGAGTTGAGGATGGAGGCCATGGGATAGAAGCCATTTCAAATAAGCTTAGAGGAGGAAAGAAGTAATAATGCAGGAATAGAAGAGATGCTGGAAGCTACATACTGTTCTAAAGACAAAGAAGAGAGAGAATCATTTTTTCTAGCCATATGTAGATGTTCAATGTATTTTCAGAAAGCCTGAAGCTCACAGATTCCACATCATAGTCCCCCAAGAAAAGAAGCCCAACATTCACCTACCACCCCTTTCTCTCTTCTCTTTGCCTCTTGGAATATATCATCCAGTGTTTTTCTTTTCTTTAACAATGCCATAATTTGAGACCAAATGATATGATAGAAAGAGCCCATTCCTTAACATTAACATTCTTGTCATCAGAACCCAGTCAGAATTAATAGCTATGTTTCCTGAGACTTGGAGGATGATAGTATCTACCTCATAGGATCTTAAAGGAACTAAAAAGACTTAAAAGGTAGATGTCTGGGCCATTCAAGTATTCAATAAATCTGCTTCACCTCCTGAGCTACTTTTCTGAAAGGCCAGCCTTCCTTGTAGGAAACTGTTAGGGTTTGAATAAGAAATATTCTCCACATGTTCATGTGTCTGAATATTTTGTTGCCTGCTGGTAATGCTGTTCAGGAAGGTTGTAAAGCCTTTACATGGAGTGGATCCTCTGGAGTGATCACTAGAGTCAGGGCTTGTGGCTTTATAGTCTAACACTACTCCCTGTTCTTTCTCAGCTACCTGAGTGAGGATGCAATGTGACCAACCGGTCTCCTGATCCTGCCACCAAGCCTTCCTTGCCTGCAGCATGTCTCCTCCACCATGATGAACTCTTTCTGGAACTAAATTCAAAATAAACCCTTTCTTCCTTAAGTTGCTTTTGTCAGGGTATTTTATCAGAGCAACAAGAAAATAATAAGACAGAAAATAGTACAGAAAAGTGAGGCATTGCTGTGATAAACCTGTGTGATTAGGCCACTGAAACTGTTTCACGGCTGGAATGCAGAAGAGTTTGGAACTTTGGTTGAGAAAAGCCTTTTGATGGATGCTAGAAGCAAAGCTAAGTGGGCCATTCTACTGTGGAGCCTAGAAAACAAGAATGTGAGAGAAATGTGGGCAGTAGAATGCCAGCTCGTGAGGTTTCAGACAGGAGCAAGGACTCTGTTAGGAACTGTGCTAGGGGTTCTTCCTGTGATATTTTGACCAATAATCTGGTTTCCAGGCTGGGCAAATGACTCACTGGTTAAAGTGTTTGCCATGTAAGTATGAATAGTAGAGTTTAGATCCCCAGAACACATGTAAAATGTTGGGTGGGCCTGGTGGCTCACTTGTAATTCCCACATTTGGAAGCTTGTACAGTAGATCTCCAGAACAAGCTGTTCAGTGAGACTCACCGTATTGGTGAGCCCTGAGTCTGAATGACAGCTCCCGACTCAATGAATAAGGTGGAAGAACAGTCAAGAATGATTTCTGACATTAACCTGGTGCCTCCCTAGGCATGTGCACACACATGCATACACACCCACATATGTGTGCTAACATATATGCAAACATGCTTACATACACATGCATACCACATACACAAGGAAATGGAAAAACAAAAAATAATCTGACTTCATTCTGCCCATGTCCTGAGAATTCAATTGAACTTAAAAACTATTCATTTGGTCAAAGGAAAATGTGTGAAGAAAGCTTACAGTTTTGAACAAAGAGAGTCCCCAACAGCAAAACATCTGTAATTATTGAAGAGATAAATACCATTAAAGGGACCTTGGCACTCTGAACTGGGACAATGGGAAAGGTTCTTTGAGGGTAAGACCCCACCTGTCAATGACTCCAACTTGCAAAGATGCAAATTTATGTGAAAAAGAGGGTCTGAACTGAGAATGCAGGTGAGAGGGTTCCCTGCTCCTCAACAGCAACTGCCTAGGGGAGCGTTTCCCTGGTATCAGGATGCAGACTGATGCAACTACGGCCCAAGGAGTCCAGATTCCATCCCACATTGGCAGCATGACTTGGCGGTGTCATTCATATGGTACTGGTTTTGGAAACATAAAAGATTCAACATTTGAGGCAGTCATGGACTCTTAATTCAGTTTCAGAGAGCAACTGAGGCCACATGATGTGCAGTAGGGTCAGAATCCCTACAAGGAGGCCCTACCTGAGAGGCTGTTGTATGAAAGTTGTAAAGGTGAAGCCTAGATTGCAAGGGAGATCCCAGGATAATGAAGAAATGAAGATGCTGAGACCATGGAACGTACACTAAAGAGATCTATAAGCAAGAGAGAGAGAGAGAGAGAGAGAGAGAGAGAGAGAGAGAGAGAGAGTGCTACAAGTGCCAGAGCTAGAGGAGTGGGGCTGATCAAGCCTTTTAGAGCCAAGTTGATTTATGAGCCCCACTTGACGGACATGGAGCTGCAGGTTTTGGTGTTTGCTCTGGTGAGTCTGAGTCTTGCTCTGGATCAATCTCCCCTTCTATGACCTATGACCCCATTCTTCACTCTTCCAACACTTTCTTCCTGTTGCTTGTTCAATATAGGTGAGGTGTCTTCTGTTTCCTATCAGACACCCCCCAAAACCAGCCAGTCCCTGCTGGAGTTAATGGTTTTTGCATTCCTGCCACCTGTGGAGGAAGAGGAGGTGGAGACAGGTGAGTAACATGGGAATGAGAGGAAGCAAACAGGAGCCCTCTTTCCCTGCCCAGCTTAACTCAGTGTCCTGTCTGCCTTTTGAAGTTGTAGGAAGGAGATAAACACACACACCTACCAGGAAGTGAGAAGCTGGTGGGGCCCCTGCTGGCAGATGCAGAATCAGCTGAGCCTGCATGAAGCCATCATTCAAGTTCACATGTGTCTCTTGCTCTCTGCAGAATATCCACATTCTCTGGCCTAAGCTGGGCTGATTGAAAGCCAGAAGGCTTCCCTCCATGCTGACTCTGGGTTAGCTGTGCATGTCCTCAAAAGGCATGACAAATAAGTTGTATTTTTCTTCCAGGGTAGAAGTGTGCTTTAACCCACAGAAATGAGCCAAAGTATGCCTCATAATGTTTGCTAAGGCTACGGACATAGTTCAGTTGATGGAGTGTTTGCCTAGCATGCGTGAAGCCCTGGGTTTTATCTCCAGCATTGCATAAACTGGGTGTAGTAGAATGTGCATGTAATCCCAGTACTTAGGAAAGGGATTAGGAATTTAAGGTTATCCTCAGCTACATAGCCTTCAGGCTAGCCTGGGATACATGAGACCTCCCAAAAATATATTTGTTAAATAATGACAATAGTGATTGTGATGATAATGCAATGGCTACTGTTCCTTCAACACATCTTCTGCATAGTCCCTATTAAGCAATTCTTTCATAGCCATTATTTCATATCATACCATTCTCAACTCTTTGGTGTGTTCCTATGCAATCTGACTCAACTTTGCTTCTCAGCATCATCTCCGTCATTACACACAAATGCATGATCTCATCTATTATGAGTCTCTCAGCCTTTGCCCATGCTGTTTTCTCTGTTTGGGGTGGCTTCCTTACTCCTTACCCTCTTCTCCTTAAGATCTAGTTCAATCTGAAAATCTACAGACATACCTGAAGTCAAAGGCTAGCTGCTAGTTTTTAGGACTCTCTAATACTGTGCTCAGACTTTCCATAGAGTATCACCCACTGCATTCCCTTTCTAGACTGTACCTCCTTGACCCACATAGGGCTCTTGTGCATGAAGAGTACCAGGCCCACGGTTGATGGTTAGTGAATATATATGAAGAAATGGAATCATGCTGGCTATTCTCTTTGGTACCTTGATAACAGCAGCTCAGAGAAATGGGAACAAGAAGCCTACAAGATGGTTGAATAAAGAAATAAAAGAGATAAGGCTCAGGTATGTTGAGAGAGTTGTAGACAAGAACAAATAAAATAAAAGTCACACTTTGTAGGAGATGATCCAATTCCTAAATCGTGTGTGTGTGTACCTGTGTGTGGTGTGTATGGGTGCATGTACACATGGGTGTAAGTGTGTGTATAAGACAGAGGACAATTTAAGGTGTCATTCCTCAAGAGCCATCCACCTCCTTTTTTTGAGTCAGGGACTCTCATTGGTCTGAGGCTCACTGATTTGGCTCAGATGGCTTGCCAGTGAGTTTAGGCATCTGCCTGTCTTTACCTCCCTAACACTGGGATTACAAGTGTATGCCACCACTCCTGGTTTTTTTTACATGGGTTCTGGATATTGAATTCAGGTCCTTATGCTTTCAATATAAGCACTTTACCAACTGAGCTATCGCTCTAGCCCAGTAATATCTAAACTACTAAATTGGAAAGACTTTTTGAGGGGAGAGGGAGCCTTTCAGAACAAGAGGATTCTATTTTCTTTCAAATCACTTCATAGGAGCATAGCTTCTATATAATTAAATATATACGTTTAAGGATTTAAGTTTTAATTGATGCACACAACATCATAATCTATAGATTACTTTTCTATACAATTTTATGCAAAAAAACATTTTAGTACATATGTTTTTGTATTTAGCTTCATCTACTTAGATGATGATGTTAAAATCCCTTATTGTTGCATGTATCAACACTTTATTGCTAAGTGTCACTCTACTATAGGTATACATAATATCTGTTTTCTCTAATTGTCTTCTTTGCTCCCAACTTTTCTGTTGTTTTTAGACATTTGGGTCCCTTCCACTTTTGAGTTATGACAAATGAGATTCCTATGAACATACTTATAAAATCTTTGTGTGGACATATTGTACTTTTATTTAGTAAATAGCTAAGAGAAGAATTCCATGGTGATGGAGTAAGTGTGTAACCTCATAAAAAACTGTCACAATACTTTCTGTAAAAGTTATTCTGTGTCATGCTATCACCAGCAGCATACAAGTTCCTGTTCCTCCACATCCCCCCACCACTTGATATTGAAGGATCGTCATCTTTAAGTGAGTCCTTGAGTATGTAGAGATATCTCATTGCAGATTTAATTTGTATTTACCTGATAGAGAATTGCTGTCTATAAATCTTCATGCATAAACTTTCTGCTCAAATTATTTGTCCCTCTTTAAGTAGGTTTAAAGTTTTAGAATAGTTTGAGATTTTCAAAAAAAGTTTCAGATGATATAAATACAAAAAGTTCTAAAATATCCCAAACCCAGTTTATCCTACAATTAACAGTTTACATTAATATGATGAATTACTGCAACCAATGGAATAATATTTCTACATTATAATATCTAACAGTCATACTTTTTTCAGATGCCCTTAGTTTTTACCTAATATTTCCTTCTATCCCAAATCTCCTCTAAAATTCTATGCCTACAGACATCATGTCTCCTTGGGTGCCTCAGACTGTGAAAGTTTCTCGGACTCTCCTAGGTATAGAAGATCTGGACAGTCTTGAGGGTTCATGGAAAAATGTTTTATAGACTGTCTTTTGATGGGTGTGTCTGATGTACTTCCCAGTGCTGAACAGGGGTTGGTGGAAGGGTTGTTCTTATGCTGTATCCACACAGTGTATTATTCAAGCTGGGTATAGCTGTGGGTAGTGATTCATCCCTGTAATCCCAGCACTCAGGAGGCTGAGGCAGGAGGATTAGCCTGGCCAAGAGGCCAGTCTGGGCTACAGAAGTGACTTTCAGTCTAGCCCGGCCCAAAAAGTAAGGCTTTTTCTCAAAAGAATAAAACAGTAACAATGAAAGAATCACAACAAAAATGCCTGCACATGTTAATCCCAGTCATGATTGATAATTCTGGCCTCCATCACTGACTATGTTCAGATTCTCCACTACAAAGTTTCTCTTTATTTCCCCATTTCCACACTTTAGAGGAAGTCATGATGGGTGGCTCATCCTTACAAGACAGAGAAGAGTGACCACATAAATTTTTGTACTTCAAATGCATCAAATTTACTCATTACCACGCTCAATCTTTATGTCAGTATAAAGTCACGCACACACGTATCTTATACTTCATTTATATACTTCTGCACATAATTGATTGTTCACATTGTTTGGCCACTGGGGCCTCTTTCAATTGTTCTTCTGTTCTCCTAACTCACCTCTATCACTTTGTTTACTGCGTACTTCCTTGTTTTCTGGTCCTATGAGATGCTCCTGGTTCCTGCTTGCCTGCTCTGGCCTGATAATTAGCCAGTTCTTCAAGGAACTATTCTGGTTCTGTCTAGAGAATGGTATTAGACAGTAAGAACTGGGGGTTGCCTGTGCTCACTGCTACCTGGATGCTGTGGCTTGTATAACTGAGTAATTACATAACTAAGCTAGAGAGTGCATGTGTGTATTCTATGTTACCCTGTTTCACCTGCATATCTAAACTAGTCAAACATAAATCCATACTAATGACACCAACTCTGATGTGGAACCCCATGACTAATTCTAATCTTCCCTCTTGCAACAATAAGACCCTGGCCCTTCTACCCACATCTGTTACTGTTTCATCTTGGTATACAAGTACAATGGCTTCAAACTTGAAAATCCTTCTTCCCTTTAGAGACAGCTCTACCACCATGATTTGTGTTTATGTACAGCTCCTCTCCTCTTCGGTCTCATAATCTACATGCATTTCCAAAGTTGCCAATGTCAGCTCCTTCCTCCCATCCCCTTCAGTGAAGTTATGTCATACATTTGTAATGCACTTAGATTCTTTTTATCATTGTCTGCATTTCATCCTGGAATCTCCTGGTCTCCTAATTGAATTTCTTTAATTTGCATGCATTAAAATTCACTCTTTGGGCTCCAAAGTTCCATGTGGTTTGGTAAATACAGTGTCCTGAATCCACAAGTGACGTATATCAGAGAATAGCTTTACTGCCCTAAAAAAATCACCCGGTGCACCTCATCCGCTCAACCTCTACCCCAACCCTTGGTAACCACTGATGTGCTTTTTGCCTCCATGGTTTTATCTTTTCCAGAATGTCATGTAAATGGAATCATGCAATGGAGCCATCTAGCAATGAGCTTTTTTTTAACTTAGCAATATACATTTTTAGATTCATGTGGTAACATGGACTTATAACTCACCCCTTTCTGAGAATGAATGATCTTCCACTGTACAGAGATGATATAGTTTGTTTGCCCATTAACCAATTGAAGGGTATTTTTTTTAAAAAAGGATCTCATCATACAGCCCTGGATGGCTGGGAACTCGCACTATACACCAGGTTAGCTGCAAACTCACTGAGACCTGCCTACATCTGTCTCCCAAGTGCTAGAGTAAAGGCATGTGCCTCCATGCCCACTTGGAGTATGTGCTATGGCTTCATATAAGCTTACAAACTCTGCTTCCAAGTTATCTTAGCACTTTATATTCCTAACAGCAGTGAATGAGGGTTCATTTGTTCAGTGTCCTAATTGGTAATACCAATTTTCTAGTCCTTAGCTGTTGTAGTGCCCACCTAACGGTACTTTACAATTTAAATCTGCATTTCCTTAATGACAAATGATGCTGAATGTTTTTTCGCACGCTTGTTTTCCATCTGTAATCCTCTTCATAAAGCGTTTATTCAAGTCTTTTGACTCTTTTCTAATTTTTTTATTATTACTACTGACTTAAGAACTTATTCTAAATTCAAGGTAAAACATCTCAACATATAAACATTTTCCTCCAGCCTTCAGCTCACTTTCATTTTCTAATTATTTTTCAAAAGAGGATTTTGAACTTAAGTTTCTGATCTTAATTTTTTCATTGTTCTTGCTTTTGGTGTCTTCTAGCTTTCTAGCTCAAGGTTAAAGTTTTTTCTCTTGTGTTTTCTTAATATTTTATTATTTTTATTTTATGTGTATGAGTGTATTGTCTGCTTGTGTGTAAATATACCGCTATCATACAATGCCTGAAGAGATCAGAAGAGGGTGTCAGATTCCCCTGCAACTGGAGTTATGGATGGTTGTTAGCCACCATGTGGGTGTTAGAAATTAAACCCAAGTCCTCGGCAAGAGCAGCCAGTGCTTGTAACTGCTGAGCCATCTCTCCCACATGTCTCCTGTGTTTTCTTATAGATGCTTTACAATTTTAAATTCTTATACTTAGATCTATAATTCATTTCAAGTTAATATGTTTTTTATAGAGCAACACACAGGTAAATGTTTACCTTTTTTATCTGTCAACCAGTGATAGTTAATCTTTATTGTCAAGTTGACTGGATTTAGATGTTTGTGAAGGTGTCTCCAAAGAGGTTTAACTGAGGAGTGGAGACTCACCAGGAATGTGAGCAGCACTATCACATGAGCTAGAGTCCTGGACTTAATACTAATGGGAAAAAGAGGAAGTAAGTTGAGCACCTGCATCCATCTCTCTGCTTCAGCACAATGTAACCAACCACCCGATGCTCCTGAAGCCACAGCTAAAGCTGCTCTGGCTGCCATGCTTTCCCTTCCATGATGGGTCATATCCTCACACGGTACGCCAAAGTAAACATTTCCTTCCTTAATGATGCTTTTACCAGATCACCGCAATAAGAAAAATAATGCATATCTAACTATGTCAGCATCCATATTGAAAAGATTATCCTTTCAGCCAGGCATGGAGGCACATGCCTTTGATTCCAGGACTTGAGAGGCAGGGGCAGGTGAGTCTGTGAGTTCGAGGCCAGCCTGATCTACATAGCGAATTCTATAAAATGAGCTCCTGTAGCCCCATCTGGGGCTGCAGGGGATACCCTATCTCAAAAAAAAAAAAAAAAAGAAAGAAAAAAAATTGTTTTATCCTGGATTCATTGCCTTTCCACATAAATTTTGGGATCAGTATATATATGGAATGCTGATTAGGAGTGAATTGAGTCTATAAATGAATAGACATCTTAAAAATATTGTGTTCTAATCTAGTAATATGATGTCTTTACTAATTTTGATTTTCTTCTATTTCATTTAACAATGTTCTTGAATTTTTCATTGTATAAATCATGATAAAGTTTATTCCTAGATATTTTATGGTTTGAGATATTATTATAAATGAGCTTTAAAATTTCATTGTCCAAATGGTCATTGCTGGCAAGTAGAAATATAAGTTTATAAGTTTTTATATTGGTCTTGTATTCTGAAACACAGCTAAGTTTTTTATTGGTTTTTAGAAACTATTTAGTAAATTCCTTAGCAGTGTCTACATACATTACCACGTTGTCTGCAAATAGACATTTTCACTTTTTCCAGTCTGAGTGTCTTTCGTTTCCTTGTCCCCCTTTCTGTTGCCTGTTATTTCCTTGAGATGACTTGCTTTGGAAGGTATAATATGTTTGATTGTGGCCAGTGGTTCAGAGATCACAGAAAGCTTAACCCCATGTCTAGACTAGACATGGTTGAAATTTCAAGGACAGTGTCTGAGAGTGACAGCCTCGCAGATTCACCCATTGCCAGCTTTATCATGTGAAGCTTGTGACACAGTGGCAGGAATTAGCCACCAGGTCCCTGGGTCAAAGAGACCCCCAAAGAAAGCACCACCAGGCTGCCACTTGTGGCTTGCCCATCGGTTCCCCGCTCTGCTTTCTTCCTCACTGTTCTCGGGCCTGCCTGCCTCCTCTCGCGTTCATCCCGCCTCGATCCCCCTGGTCTGTCCTTTCCTTTCTTCTTTTCCCTTTTCTGTTGTTTACTCAACTTCTTTTTCATTCTGCTTCCCCCATACAATCACTTTCTCTAATTCCTTTCCTGGCATAAGGACTCTCACCCTCACTTCTCTTCCTACAGCTGGTTGCTTTCTGTTTTACAGCCACACCCAGAGCAGTACCAATACTTACTGTCACAGCCAACTCTGTTGTTCTCTCTCAAATTCTCTGGCAGTCTTTCAACTGCTGGGCATTTGGGAGAAAACATTCCTATTCTGCTGCAAACTCTCCTGTGGGTTTAAGTGACACTAATGTGAATCAGTTTAAAACTCCCTCATCCCATCTTCTTTAAACTTCACTATTCTGACCATCTAAGGAAGTAATTTTCAAGTTTTAAAGACCATAAGGGACTCATTATATCTTTGGATAGGGCCCAGGAATCTACTTTCTTAACGAGTACCCTGCACCCAGGTGATTTTGATGCACACTGGATGTAGACCAAGTGTTGAGGAATACTGACATGGGAAACACTAGAGGAGGGGTATGAGAAAAGTGTTCTTTTAGCCTACTGCAAAATGAGCTCCAGGGCCTAGACTCTAGCCACAAGTCCATGGCAAAAGAGCCAGATTGCTAAATTGTGCCTGTGATCCTCATGTGGGAAATGGGGCTTGTGATACCTACCTTATGTTACATATATGGTAGTAAGACCCTAATAAGAAAGATTTTTAAAAAAGAGATATAGATTATTGAGTACAGGTAATTCTAACATAAAATTCACAATATTTAATAATTTCACATTTTTCTCTATTACATGGAAAACACTTTTGAAGCCACTATAAATTAGGAAGATAATGACATTGCACAGCGCTTAATGGTATATAGACGCTATATGAATCCTTCTCAAACTGTCTTACATAGGTATCACTGGGGAATCTTGCAAAAGACAGATTTGGCTCAGAAGAAATGTAGGCTGGGTCCTGAGATTTTGAATTTCTAGTAAATTTCCAAGTGAGGCTGATGTTGTAAAAAACCACGCTTTGAGTAGTGAAGTTTATGATCTCACGGAGAGAAGCGAGGTGTAATGGGAGGACGAGAAAAGGGTGTGACTCAATGTCCCTCCCGAGAGATGGTTAGGGGAAGCAAGAAAGGAACGAAGCATAGGCTCTCTCTAGAGTCCCGCTCTGGAAGGGATCACTGCACAGGTGTCATTAGGCACGGCTTCCAGGAAACCCAGAGCAGAGGCAAGGATGAACAGCTTTGCCTTCTCACCTTTCTAGGATGAACTAGTGTCAACAGACATGATTAGGTTCAGAGGTGACAGAGATGTGAAGTCACAAGGAAACTCCAAGAAGATCTAGTTCTCTGAAACTAGACACCCTTGCAGTGGCCAGGCTGTGAAGAAACTCCAGTGACAGATTGTTCTTAGTTGACGAGACAGCATTCCTCAGAAACCCAGAGAAAGAATGTGTCAACCCTTTTACACACTGCAGTTAGATGAACACAAATAGGTGAGGCGTCTTTACCTCAGGGAGACATATGAACATCTACGGTGGCTCCTGAAATTTTTGCCCCTCTAGATCTATTCTCTGCCCTTCTCTACTCTCATACCCCTTGGGAAGCATGAGAGAAATACTTCCGGGGGCTCCCTTGCCATCTGATTTTTATTGGGTTCTAGCAATGGAGGCACCAGCAGTAGATTTCAGGAAGGTAGAAGAAAGAATTGACAGAATTCCTTACCTGGGTGCTCCCTGGTGAGCTATGGGTGGGCAGTGTCAGACAGCATGTTAACTGAAGGACTTGGCTCTGACCTAGTACCTCTTCACAAGTACTGCTACCAAGTCTGAATCCTGGAAACATGAGCCCCTTCAGACCTGGTGTGGTAAGAGTACCCCACTGTTGCTACTCCTGTATTGCATTACCATAGCTTGTTTATTTCCTTTAAAATTCTTATAACGGGGGCCGGAAAGATGGACCAGTGGTTAAGAGCCATCTGGCTGCTCTTGCAGAGGACCCGGTTCAGTTCCCAGCACCCACATGGTGACTAACAACCACCCATAACTCCAGTTCCAGGGGATCTGACACCATCTTTTGACCTCTGCAGGCATTGCACAATACACATTGCAGGCAATACACTCAAACACATAAAATAAAAATAATAAACAAAATATTTAGAAATAAAAAGATCAATTTATTTAAAAAATAAATAAAATTTGAAATTGCTCCTTTTATTTTAACTCTCCTCAGTTTACTATGTCGCTGTGCTTCATTTCCACACCTATTTTGATGGAATATTTATAACCACAGCATCCTCACAACATACTTTCTGGTGACAAGAGAGTGCCCTATCGTTAAATAGCTATAATGAGAATTGGAGTACTGGAGAGATAAAAAGAAATCATGGCTGTTAATGTCAGTCGAATGGAACGCAAAGCAGCATCTAAGGACTGTGAGAACTTCGGGACTGATGAGGGAGAAGGTAAGATAGCACTACTGTGGATGCAGCACTTGAAATTCAGGCGCCCCTTTCCCGTTATTTCACATGACCTGCTCCCCCTCTTCTGGATAGCATTGATAATGGGCTTTCTTGATGACTGTGGAAATCAGTCTCCTGGCTTTTCTGTTTGTGTAGTAGTTCCATACTCTAGGCCAGAACTGTGCTAGATTCACTCTTTTTGTTCAGTCTAACTATACGGAGACTTGTTACATGGCGTCCTTCACTACATGAGTGAAGGTTTTCTAAAGGCAATGGGTACAAAAGACAGGTTATAGGTATCATGCTCAGTCTACCATTGGGCCCAAGAAATAGTAATCAAAAGCTTGAACTATAGTGCTCAATTATCTGAGTTGGGATTCTAATTCAGGGTTTTGTACTTTATCACACCATATTTCATTGTTTTGAACCTTGCCTCCCTTGTTTGTGAAAAGCTGTTTATGACCTTTCTTAATGGTCACAATGAAAATGTATGATCTAATTCATGCACAATACTTAGTATCTAACACCTATGAAACACCTAACACACATCATAGTATCCATGCTATTTCTGTATCATCAGCATCAGCATCAGCATCATTTCCAGATGATGTTGATACTGATAAAGATGAAGGAGAAACAGCTTCTGACAAATCCCAACTAGATATCACAGTCCCATTTACTCATTCTGTCAATACTAGGAGTTTCTTTATTCTGTCTCTGGTCATGACTAGTGTGCAGCGAGGACAGACAAGGGTCTTAGATTTCCTGGGAAGGAAAACATGGGGGCAGAAGAGGAAGAAGCAAGTAGGTATGAATGAGAGAGAACAGAAAAGCATTATTGGGTGGATAACAAGATTTTAATCTCTTCTTTCCATGGTAAAACCATATATTCTCTCTTGTTCAGATCCTCTGTTTACACTCCCTGACCTTATGAGTTGGACCCAGGCCTTGGAATCTTCAGGTTACACTCTCCACCCCAATGTCAAGACATCAGGGTGAGTAAGTGGAAGGAAACTTTTGTCAGCAATTTCTGCTCTGGAGTGAAAATTCTTCCCAAACACTGAGCCAGTTGACCTGCTTAGGCCTGGATCCATCTTAGCTCATCCATCTGGCTGTACATCTGCACATCAGTACATCTTGAAGCTCAGGGAAGAATGCAAGTGGAACAAGATACCAGAAGACTCCAGAAGACTCTGGACTTCTAGGAAACTTTCCTTGTATCTCCCAATCTGATGGAAACACACAGTACTTCTGGACACAAGGCAAAAAGCCCTGTCTCCCTGAGGATTCTCCTTGAAGAACATTCTCTGACATGGGTCCAGCATCTGACAAGAAGAATTAACTTTGTACAATAGTTCACATTTGAGAGAACTGCCAAGAAGATTGACACGAATAACATATTTGGAAAATGTTTTACAAAGTACACATTAGAGACATCATTACACATGCCAACTGAAAGCTGAGCATTTGTCAATAAAATAATGTGGTCAAGGCAAGTGACAGGACCAAGACCTGTATGTGTCTGACCCCATTTCAAATCCTATGCTCTTTCCTCTGCCTCCTGAACTGGAAGTTCCCGGCATGGGCTGCCCATCTGCACGCCAGGGCTCTTATATTTGTGTGTGTCTCCTAGGCATTCATTATATATAGTCTGAAGGCTCTACTCATCTTTTCCCCTAGGTGGTTTTTTTTTTCTTTTTTAATCTCTTCAGCTATCTAAGAATCTAAGAAGTCCCCATGAAGAAAAATACTTTGTTTATATTCCTTCCTGTCTCCAGGAGAACCAAATGCATATCTGAAGGTTAATTGATACTTTGGCCCACTCACTCAAGGATACAATAGCCAAGACATTTCTTTCTATGAAATTCAGGAAGGATATTCCAACAAGTCAGAATGACTGGACTTGACTGTTGAGAGCAATCTATCTTGACTGATGTGGACAGTGACAGAAATCAGGCCATGGACATAAAACAGTGGAGGAAAACTCTTTCCTCCTCATCACCAATTCTTCTTCCTGTGTGTCCATAGAACCACTTGCCTTTTCTTCGCGCCTTCTTCATTTGCCCTATTCTGGCCATTTTCTTTCCTGTTCACCTTTCCTTTTTCTTTCCCTTCACGTATTATATTCATTCCTCATTTCCTGTCTGTACCATTTCCTCCAACAAGCCATTGCATTCTCAAATCAAGTGCCTTTGTAACTGACACTGAAGGTCATCACCTACCTCCTTAAGTCTCTGACACATGGAAAACTTTAGAGTGAGCTTAAAGAACACCTGATCCAGTCATTTTAATTAATTCATTTGAATCCATCTTGGTTTTAGTTGTCTTTGCTGTTGCGTTTATTTTCTATTTATAGTTTCAATCAATCATATCATATTGGGAATGGAATTAACA